AAATGTATATTAAGAATTTACTAATTTAACTAGTTAGTAACTTTACCACTAGATTGGCTAGAATGGGATGGGAAGACAGAAAGTATCAACACTGTCTCTGATATACCAGGCTCTCTGTGAATTGAAGTGGTTTGAGGAAACCGTGATGTCATAGGGAGTCAAAGTAATCTATATATTTTAGTAATTCGGTAATGCAAGTGTATGCAACATATAGAGAGGCAGAGGAGGTAGACTTAATTCTGTCTGGGAATGTGTCTTGAAGGAGGTAACATTTGGGACTGAGATTAGAAAAGTGAATTGGGTGTGCAAGGGAGACAAACTGAACCGTGGCAGTCAAGGGAGAGGAAGCTATACATGGAAAGATTTAGTGGAGTAAGAAAGTGTGCTGTGCTTGGGAACCACATAGAATAGAACTCAGTATTTCTGGAGCATAAGATACAGAAAAGAGAGGCAGATGGGAGTGATATCCCAAATCAGACAGGGGTACTGGTTGGATCACTCAAAAATTTCTAGCTTAGTAGGGCAATAGTGCTGCTGTTCACCAACATAGAAGCTATAAAAGGGGCATTATGTTGAGAAGTTGATGAGTTCAGTTTTAGACATTTCGGGGACTGTCTAGTTGAAAATGTAGCCTAGGGGTTGGAGATCCATGCTTATAGGTTGTAAGAGAGTATTGACTGGAGATGCAGATACCAGTCATCATCAGTGCCCTTCCAGTTGATGACAGCAAGGGTGTGGCTAGAAGGATCAGTGAGTGAAAAGGGGATCATACACAGGCATCAACATTTTAAAATCATGTGGAAGAAGATGATCCTGCAGAGGACCCAGAGTTGGGAGGAGAAATAAAAAAATCAAAGCATAAAAACAACAACAAAAAAAAAACCCCAACGTATGTCCTCCTGTAATGTTATTTAGTAGTTAAAAAACAAAATTATAAAAAAATCAAATTAACCATAATTTAAGATATATTTATTCAGCCGGGCTCGGTGGCTCAGCCTGTAATCCCAGCGCTTTGGGAGGCTGAGATGAGTGGATTGCCTGAGCCCGTGGGTTCGAGACCTGCCTGGGCAACTTGGTGAGACCTCATCTCTATAATAAATCAAAAAATCAGCCGGGCGTGGTAGTGCGCACCTGTAGTTCCAGCTACTTGGAAGGCTGAGGTGGAAAGATCGCCGGAGCCCAGCAGGTCGAGGCTGCAGTGGCCGGGAGCAGCCACTTCACTCCATCCAGTCTGGGTGACAGAGTGAGACGCCAACTCAAAAAAAAAAAAAAAAAAGAAAAAGAAAAGATATGTTTATTCAAGTTATACAGGAACCGCTTGCTTATTTTTTGTGAACTAAGGAAGCATGGTCTTCAGGTGGGAAATGGGGAGATGGTAAAGGCTTGATTAAAGGCTAGGAGATGTGGGTGGAGCTGACCAGTGTACTGTCATGCATTTCCAAATTTTGCCCATAGGGAATACATCTATTAAATCATCAGGCTGGTAGACTTTTTTTGTACTCATTGGCCTAAATGTATCAATGGAAACAATGAGTGGTTGAATGAATACGTAATCACAAGGTTATGAGATTGCTGCTTTGGAAGAACCAAGAAGTGGTGAACAAGAGAGTCATTTAGAATTGTGGGGGTGGGGTGTAAGGTTTTAAAGTCTGACTTATAAAAGCAGACTGGATCTCTATATCAGTTCACAGAACAAAATAAATTCTAGAAACGTCCAAGAATTACATGCAAAATACTACTATAAAGCTTATTAGAGGAAATAGGATAAAGATTTAAAAAATTTTGGTGTGAGGAAGACCTTTCTCAATTTAATAGGAAGACTAGAATTTATCAAGGAAAAGATTGGTTGACTCAGTTGCAGAGAAAGTGTTGAGTCTCAGATACTACTTTGGGAGTAATGAAATACAATTGAAAAACAAAGCCAGGTGTGAGGTGGCTCACATCTGCAATCCCAGCATTTTGGGAGGCCAAGGTGGGAAGATTGAGTTCAGTAGTTCACGACTAGCCTGGGCAACATAGTGAGACCTCATCTCTACAAAAAAATAAAAAAATTAACCAGGCATGGTGGCATGTGCCTGGAGTCCCAGCTACTTGGGAAACTGAGGCGGGAGGTTTGTTTGAGCCCAGGAGTTTGAGGCTGTGATGAGCTGTAAGCATGCCATTGCTCTCTAACTTGGGTGACCAAAAAAAAAAAAAAAAGAAAGAAAAATTTAAAAACAACCAACTAATTGAGGTGTAAATATTTGCAGTGTGTATAACAAAGTGCCCTAAACCTGGTCATGGGAGTGAATGATCAGGATATACAGGGGTTCAAGAGACTGGATCAAGGAGACCAAAGTCCTCAGCCAGGGTTTTAAGAAGTTGTATCAGTATGGATATCAAAGTCTCCCAGTTTATGACAGATGTTATGGTGGAATGGAAGTGACTTAAATGACTTCTGGAATTCTTTATGAATGTAGGAAGTATCCAGACCCAATGAATGGTATGGCTAGGGAGGAATAGACAGTAACAAAGGATACAATGCTAACATAGGGTTAGTGAACATTCCTAGGCCTCTTCATCTTTCTGGAGCTATAGACAAATCTGAAGGTCTGGAGATAATGTGAAAATGAAGTAGAAATCTTTTAATATATGTATTGTTGTAATCCTTTTTGGTTTGGAGCTCCCAGAGTTACTAGCCAGAGTGTGATTTATAGCTTGATTTATAGTTTGATTTATAGCTTTCCTAGATTTACAGGGTGGGTATAAACTTCATTGAGAGAGCTGTGTAGTTTAATCTTCGGCCTTTTCATCTTAAGCACACAAATTTATGTAGATATACACAAATTTATGTAGATATACTGAAGTACTTTTTGTCATTTTGGAATTAAAAAATTGCCATGATGAAGATGGATTCAAGTGTAATCTCATTTCTGAAGCAGTTATTTGATAAACTGAGAACAATTCTGTAGGAAGGGAGACTGAGATACAGATTAAGTTAAATCTCCACATTTTTTTTTTTTTTTGAGTTGGAGTCTCACTCTGTCACCCAGACTGGAGTGCAGTGGCCGCTCCCGGCCAGTGCAGCCTTGACCTGCTGGGCTCCGGCAATCCTTCCGCCTCAGCCTTCGAAGTAGCCGGAACTACAGGCGGATGCCACCATGCCTGGCTAATTTTTTGATTTATTGTAGAGATGAGGTCTCACCAAGTTGCCCAGGGGGGTCTCTAACCCTCAGGCACAGGCAATCCACTCACTTCAGCCTCCCAAAGTGCTGGATTACAGGCTGAGCCACCAAGCTCGGCAATTTCCACATACTTATTGTAACACTAAAAAAGGTAAATGGTGAAATTGATTGTAACAGAGAATGCGGATTTAAAGTATGGAAAAGCTGTTTAACATTGGACAGACCTTGTATACTTCATTAACTCACTCAGTAAATACTGAGGGAGCTGTGTCCTTTGTTAGGTACTACATAGCAATAGGCAGAGAGGGCTTACCACATGCTAAAAACAATGCTACTTTACTTTTATGAATTATTTCATTAAATCCTTGTAACAGCCTTTCACTTAGGAATCATTATCCCCATTTTAGAGGAGAGGAGAGAGAGGCTTTAGAAAATTTAAGTAATTTCCCCAAAGTCCTTTAGCTGTTAAAAATGGAGGCGCCTGTTTCTAAGTCCAAGGCAGGGCCGAGCTCTTTAACACACTGATTTAAAATGGGGACAGGGAGGGAGGGGCATTTCTGAGTGTTCACTATGGCATCACGTGCCAGGCTCTGCAGTCCACCCAAGGATCCTCAAGGTAAGTCTCATTGTTACCATCCCGGTTGAAACCACTGTGCTCTGTAAACTCAGTGATCAGGCAGTTTGGCTGCAGGCTGTGGTAGATTCCATTCTCTCATCCTATATTCATGCTGCTTTTATAATGCCCATTGGATGAAGTTATAAGCTTAAACAATTTGGATAAACGCTTATTTTAACAACATCGAGAGGATATTGTGTACAAGTCCATTATATTGTGTATAACTAGTTTTTATTCCTTTTTCTTGTACATCTTCTTATATTCCATCTTGGTTTTTACAGTAAAAATTTTGAAAGATTAAATTTTGCTTTACTTACCCTTAAAAATAAAAAACAAAATGATTGAGATCTATTTTGAAATCTTGAGACTGTTCATAGCATTTTAGTGGCACTGTGTTTATTTTTAATATGTAAACTTTATTATAAAAACATACTTTAATTGAAAAAATCCAGTTGGAAATACTTTTTAGGAATAGGAAAACAGTTTTACATATGAAATAGTCTGAATAAGAGGACCATGTCAGTTTTATTAACTTACAATTGTGTGTCTTAGGTCGGTTGGTATTTTAGAGGAAACGTGTTAGATTTTTTTCTTTTCCCCCTCCCTCTTGTTGTCACCTGCTCTTCCTTTTTAAACCATTATCTCCTTTCTGAATCAGTTTCAGCAATTATCTTTTAATTAAATTGAACTGGCACTTACATTGCTGTTGTAGATGGCATTGTCAGTCCTTTCCTGAAAGGACAAGTATATCATCTCTGCTCGGTAACTGGGTGTTGCTGTTCACTTGTACTGTACTGCGAAGGAGGAGGGGAAAATTAAGGTTTAAAATAAGTCTCTTTCTAGAAGAGTTAGGGACTAGATAGTAAATATATCTTTAAACACAATCAAGAAATTATAACAAAGGTTAAACATTTTTTTGTCTACAAATTGGGGTTCTGGTTTAATATTTCATTCTTAAGTGACAAAAATGATTCACTGAGCCATATTTTTTAGGGCTAGTGAAATAGAAGCAGCCAAGGGTTGCATGTCTGTTTGTTACAGCCTGTAACATTATTAGCCAGGCTTCTCAAATTATTTGGTATATTGAATTTAGACATTAGCATTTCCTGTTTATATTTTTATTTGTGAAATTTTAAATCTTTTTGTAGAGCTATGCTAGTTCTACCTTAAAAAAGAAAACACCCCCTCTGCTTAAAAGAAATGGTACTTCCTGCTTTCATAAACAGTCATGTGCATAGTTTAGCAAGGCCTGATGCCTCTGGAGCTTTTTCCCTTTATAGCACCATTGAATCCCAGTCCTAACAGAAGTACTGCGAATCTTGTGGCCTCATTCTGAACAAAAGGGATTAGGGAAGAAAAATCTCTTGATTTAAGGCTTGAAGGCAAGGGCAGGCAATCTTGGTTGTGAATATTTTCTGATTTTTCCAGAAATCAAGCAGAAGATTGAGCTGCTGATGTCAGTTAACTCTGAGAAGTCGTCCTCTTCAGAAAGGTACAGCTACATCTCTTGCATGAACAATTAATGGTGTAGCATTGCTAAGAAACAAACCAGGACATATTTTTTTTTCCTGTCAAGTTTGCTATATAACGTATTGTCCTGCATGCTGGTATTGTGCTGTATTGAAAATGTGTATTTGGGCAAGCTGTTCTGCTTTTGCAAAGGGTAATTGATTTTTAAAAAAAATAGTGAAGCCTAATCAGCTGCAGCATGCACACCATAACACAGCAGACTGCTAGTTCATGTGTGACAACTGTCGAAGGCTTTAAGAAAAAATTTATCTAAAAAGTAAACAGAGAAAATCTTGCTTTCTTTAAGGAGATCCTGTTAGGTTTTCTTTCTGTATTTTGAGGTTGCTGCTATACAGAATTACCAAGGTTATTTGTAAGATCTAGGTTAAAAATACTTAATTTTTGATTGTAATAAATATTTATTCTTATGTGGGAAGGGAGTGCCATTTGTAAATAGCTTAGGAATTGCAAACCCACAGATTAGTCACATTCTGAAAGAGATATGCTGCTTCTTCAAGTCTGTGCTAGGAAATGGAACAGTCACTGCATGCAGTAATGGTTCATGCCTGCAGGTAAGGACAAAATGACTCAGAAGTATTTTTAAAGCAATTATTTTATCTGTCAATCATATGATTATACCTGTAAGGAGATATTTCATTAAAATAACTATTTGGCCTTATAAAAAGATTTAAGATATTTTTACCTAAAGTCAGAAATAGGGCTATTGTTGCCTATTGATGTGTAAATATTGTATTCACTTCTGTTTATCAAAATTGTATATGCTACATAATGTTTTAAATTGAGATTCTTGGGCATACAGTTGATGCTTATCTTTCTCTTGGTTACCTAATAGTTTTTACTTATTGTTTGATATTTTGTACTTAAGGTATGTAGATTTATGTTTTCTAGGGTTAGTTTTCAGGGTTTTTTTTTGTTTATAGGCTTTACATTTAGGAAAATATTATGGAGAAATAATTTGGTAGTTGAGGAATGATACAGGAAAAGCGCTGAAAAAATATGAGTTGAAGAACCTACCATGGTAAAATGGATTTAATTGAAGTACACTAGTGTATGAAGGACATGATCTGATGGCAAAATGATCATGTAAATCGATTTATTAGTATAATTAGGTGAAAAGCTTTCGGCTATAAACTTAGAGCATCACATTGATGTTGTTACTGCTTTCTTTAGAGACTGAAATTAGAAAAATTTAGAACCATTTGTGTTTATGTAGCTTCTAACTTCTGACTTGTGGCTAACCATTTGATTTTAAGCATACTGTTTGCTGAGACGAAAACAGTGTTCAGCCTTGTGAATATTCTGTCAGTAAAATGGTGGTGAGGGGAAGGGGAGAGGGTGGTGGTATAAATAGTGAATAATTCATGTGTCAACTATAATATTAGAGTTTGTTATTAGAAAGAACACACTTAATGAGATGACAGTAATATTTGTGTTAGCTTTGAGGGAATATCATGGATTATTTGCAGATAATCTGAGGACTGAACAGAAGTGATGAATAGTATTGAGAAACAAGTTGGGAGTGGGTGAGGTTTTCGTGTTAAAATATTTTCTGTAAGAAAAGATATTCTAAAATGTTTTGGTGATTTTGTTACTTATTTATTTATTTGCATATAATTTTAAAGTTTAAGAATTAGCTACTATGCTTATAATTTTATATACAGTTTTACCAGAGATTGTTTAATTTACCTATTATTATTTTGGGGGGTAGTTAGAGATATATTTGACAGTTCTGATACCTTGACTTAATAAGTGATAAATGTAGCTTATGAATCAGCCTACACTTTGCAAACATAGAAGTTATTTCAGTAATGAAAATGTATTAAAAATAGAAGTACTCTTTTTTCTTCTTCCTTTTTTTTATAAGTCATACAATAAGGAATGGTCAAAATTATTTATCTTTTTAATTTGTTTGGAAGAACTTGAAAAATAAGAATCTGAAGTTAAAAAAAAAATTACCGGCCTAGAAACACTATATCCTGTCCAGGAATTTAATACCTTATAGTATCATGTGGCATTACCATCACATTTTTAAATTCCTTGTTCACCAGTCCACCAAAAGTTTTTGCTCTGTTTTTTTTTTTTTTTTTTTTAAGTGACGTTATTGGCTGGAAGCATGGCGCCCTAAGTCATAGAGATATTTGGAATTCACATGTAGTCACTGTTCTCATTTATCTAGTGGTAGAATGGCTGAAGAAATCTGGCTTCTTTCTTTAAGTAGGGGACAAGCTGCTTCGTTGGAAGAAAACCAAAAGTTACAATTCTCCAAATTGATTTTGTTCTTGTGGTATAGAATGATCTTTTGATATTTCAGAAAACTGAGTGGAAAAAAGTACTTCTAAATACGAAATATAATAGAAACTGTGATGTGATGTTTCTAATAATTTTTTCATCTCATATTTTTATCCTACTAAAGGAGAATTGCTAGCCTTGTGAAAGTTTAGTATTGGTTGAATTACTTTTGTTTAGACAATTTTGTAAAATGGGAAAAGCAAACCAAAAAATAAACCTAGATTATTTTTATAGACTCTTGAGACTCCTTCATTGAAAAATACAAATGTGATTTGAAGTAAAATTATAATGGAATTTTTAAGGTTGTTTTGGGGGCTAAATTAGAAAACATGTTATCCTAACAGATCTCAATACCACCTTGAAATTTAAAATTATGTTTTTACCTTTAGTAAAACAGTGGGGAGGTTTGTAGACTATCATTTTATAGGGCAGGTATGGAATACTTCTGTTCAGATTGATTGACTCATAGAACCAAAACTTAGTGGGGTTACAAAAAGTTACAGTTTATTTTTTGATTTTGGGTTTTTGAAGAGAGAAAAATTTCAGCATAATCATTTTAAAAATTAAGAGCAGAGAATGTTATTAAATGTATAAAAAGAGGTATCTGGATGATTAAGAGGAAGATAGAGTCACTGCAAGAGAGTACACTTCTAGAGGTTTTATGAGTGAATCCTACTACAAGTATTTTCTTTCTTTAAATTGAGTGCCTTCTGAATGAATGAATGTGTACATCTTGAATATGATAGAGTTGGTGGTGGGCACAGTGTTACTTCCTTGTCTACTCCCATTTAATGTAATAAAATAAATTGAGACTATTTGATAAAAAACCATGTTTTTGAGCTTTCGTTTCTTCTTTTTGCCCTTTCCTAGCTAGAGTACTCCTGGGACTTATGGGGTAACTTGGGAAGAGTAGCAGCAATAATAACAATAATAACTACAAAAAACATACAGTTGTCTCTCGGATTCCAAGGGGGTTTGATTCCAAGACCCCTACAGATGTCAGAATTCACAGATGCCCAAATCCCTTATATAAATGGTGCAGTATTTGCAAGTAACCTACATACATCCTCCCATATATTTTAAATCGCCTCTGGGTTCTTTATAATAATAATACAATGTAAATGTTATGTAAATAGTTGTTATACTCCTTTTTTTTTTTTTTTTTTGAGTTGGAGTCTCAC